CTGAACCCTAAACCTGAAATCCTTAAAGTCTAAACCTTAAACCCTTGAAACACCTGATGACAAGAACAAGGCCCATCTCCTCTGCGAGGACCGGTTGCCATAACCGCCGCCGCCACCGCCACCACCACCGCCACCCTTTCGATTACCTCAAGGAGACACCCCTAAACCCTAAACCCTAAACCCTAAACCCTAAACCCTAAACTCTAAACCCTAAACCCTAAACCCTAGACGGCTGCCGCTTTTGGGGCTCAGGGTTCTAAAGTTTGAGCGTCAGAGCATTAGGCGTTTAGGGGGCTCGTTTAAGGCTTTCGACAGGGTTTTGGGCTCAGGGCTTGGGGTTTGGGGTTTGGGGTTTGGGGTTTAGGGTTTAGGGTTTAGGGTTTAGGGTTTAGGGTTTAGGGTTTAGGGTTTAGGGTTTGGGGTTTGGGGTTTAGGGTTTAGGGTTTAGAGCTCAGGGTTTAGAGTTCAGGGTTTAGAGTTTAGGGTGTTAGAGCCTTAGGTACTTCGTGTCCCAGAGCTCAAGCGCAAAAAACCCTCAATCGAAGAATCGCGGAGAGGAGGTCGCAACCCACCCACCCCCCCCCCCCCAACAAACCCCCCATTTGGGTTTAGGGTTTAGGTTAGGCTTAGGGTTTAGGGTTTCGGGCTTCAGGGTCTCAGGGTTTAGTACCGAGGAGGCGAGACCAGAATCACAGGGCATGCAAGGGGGCCGGGGGGGGGGGGGGGGTGTTCAAGGCTGCTAAACCCAAAACCGCTTAGGTTACCCTAAACCCTAAACCCTAAACCCTAACCCAAAACCCTAAACCCTAAACCCTGACCCCCAAAGCCCGAAACCCTAAGAGGCCTGAGCCCCTCTTTTGAACGAGGCAAGACAAGACAGGGAGCCGCCCTTGCCGCCGCCTTTCCCAAAGCGGGAGTATCCTCAGACAGAGGAGGGGTACGAAGGTTCAGGGTTTAGGGGTTTGGGGTTCAGGGTTTAGGGTTTAGGGTTTAGGGTTTGGGGTTTGGGGTTTGGGGTTTGGGGTTTGGGGTTTAGGGTTTAAGGTTTAGGCCAACGTCCCGATCCTCTGAGAGGATGTTGAGAGCCAACCACCCTACTCAGTTGCTATGACAGGCCGCCCAGTAGTAGTACGGCGAGCGAAGGCACTAAGTTCGGAATTCTTCTTTTTAGGTGGACCATGGCCTCTTTAACCCATGAATGACGGCAAACATAGGTGCCTTCTTTTGGACCCTAAACCCTAAATCCTAAACCCTAAACCCTGAACCCCCAAACCCCGAAACTTGGGTTAACATCGGCCCAGGAGCGGCCGCCACCACCGCCGCCGGTATCGGCCAGGTCGCGCAGCTCTGACGGTATCCTTAGAAAGCTCAGGGTTTGGGGTTTTGTCTACTTTTCTCTTAAGAACGCCCGCAAAAAATGAAAAACCCGATATTGCCCTTATAGGGAGGATTATTTTCACTATTGCATTTATTATTTTAATAGTGTTGTTCTTTTTTTTTTTGGGTGGGGGGGGGGGGGGGGGGGGGGGGGTTCTAATAGTGTTGTTCTTTTTTTTTTTTGGGTGGGGGGGGGGGGGGGGGAGGGGGGGTTCTGAAGCAAATAGTAGTTGTACAGTACCACGACCATTCCTGGGGATTGTCTATTCGTTCTTCGCTTGCCCAGGGGTCCTCAACTGGAAACAGTGAATTCAACACCCCGAAACCCTAAACCCTAAACCCCAGACCCTAAAGCCTGAACCCTAAACCTTAAACCCTACTACTGAAAAACCATGAAACCCTAAACCCTAAACCCTAAACCCTAAACCCTAAACCCTAAACCCTACTACCGTAAACCCTAAACCCTAAGCTCATAAACACTGGTGTCCATTTCACCACAAGATCGCAGCCAAGCCTCTCTTGACCAGCCTTCTCCTGGTCGTTTTGTCTGATACTTGGAGGTTGGGTTTAGGGTTGGGGTTTAGGGTTTAGGGTTTAGGGTTTAGGGTTTAGGGTTTAGGGTTTAGGGTTTAGGGTTTAGGGTTTAGGGTTTAGGGTTTAGGGTTTAGGGTTTAGGGTTTAGGGTTTAGGGTTTAGGGTTCAGGGTTAAGGCTTAGGGATTAGGGTTTAGGCTTTTGGGTTTGGGGTCAAGTCGGCTGTCTGAGACTGGGGAAGCAGTAGAGACTCATAAGCCCTGAGCCATAAACATGTCCGGGGGTTTCGGGTTTAGAGTTTCAGGGCCTCCCTCTAGCAACGACTATACTATACCCTAAACTTGAAACTAAAACCCTGCGTAAATCTCCTAAGCCCCAAATCCTCGAACCCTAAACCCTAAACCCTAAACCTTAAACCCTAAACCCTAAACCCTAAACCCTCAAGCCCTTCTACGGCTTTATGCTCTTCCAGTGACGAACTCCTGTACTTCGCATGCTCTGCCTCTAAATAGTTGCGTGCGACGCAACTTGTCGGTCTGGTGATGTGCAACGCTAAACCCTAAACCCTAAACCCTAAACCCTAAACCCTAAAGCCCTGGCGGGCGCGCTATTCGGAGTGGTGTACATGATCTGCAGCCGCCACAAAGAAGAACTTTACACAACAAAGAAAAGAGACCGCGCATTTCGGGATGTTCCCCTTTATACTAACAGTCCTTACTAGGGACTGTGGTACCCCCTATTATAATCCCAATATTGACCCTAGCCCCCCCCCCCCCCCCCCCCCCCAAACCTGCATTCAGGCAATAAATCCCAAACCTAAACCCCATTACTGCGTAGCCTCAACGCTAAACCCTAAACCCACCCCCATCACTGCGACTGCACGATGCGGCCAAGCGTCCATGGAACGCATCACCTGTGCGGCTTCGTGTTTGCCAGGTTCAGGGTTTCGGCTTCAGGGGTTAGAGGACAAGGGTTTAGGGGTTCAAGGGAGTTAAGGGGTTTAAGGGGTTTAAGGGGGTTAAACGGGCTTGGGAGGTTGAGGGGGGTTTAGGGGTTTGGGGTTTGGAGTTTGGGGTTTGGGGTTTGGGGTTTGGGGTTTGAGGTTTGGGGTTTGGGGTTTGGGGTTTGGGGTTTGGGGTTTAAAGGTTTAGGGCTTGGGATTGAGGGCTTTACACCAAAACCCTGCATTGAGGCAGGGTTGTTCTTGCAGTTTTTGGTGAGTGTATGCAGGGTTCCTTTTCAGTATTGGTGAATGTATGCATGGGAGGGGGGGGGGGTTCTTTCGCGGCTGCTAGCCTACTACTACACACCCAAACCTCAAACCCTAAACCCTAAACCCTAAACCCTAAATCCTAAACCCTAGCATCCCTAGAGTAGCGGGCTCCCTCACACGGCCCGCCTCGCGCGCCTCCTTGGTCTCCCTTGAATCTAGGAACCTGGGTTTTGGGGGTGGGTTTAGGGTTTAGGGCTTAGGGCTTAGGGCTTAGGGCTTAGGGCTTAGGGCTTAGGGCTTAGGGCTTAGGGCTTAGGGCTTAGGGCTTAGGGCTTAGGGCTTAGGGTTTAGGGTTTAGGGTTTAGGGTTTAGGGCTTAGGGTTTAGGGTTTATAGGGTTTATAGGGTTTATAGGGTTTTTGGGGTTTGAGGGCTTGAGGGCTTGAGGGCTTGAGGGCTTGAGGGCTTGAGGGCTTGAGGGCTTGAGGGCTTGAGGGCTTGAGGGCTTGAGGGCTTGAGGGCTTGAGGGCTTGCGGGCTTAGGGTTTTTGAGGGCTTTTGGCTTCAGGGTCTTAGGACTTTCGGTTTTATGGCATTAGGGCTCTAGGGTTCCCTAAGCCTCAAACCCTAAAACCTAAACCCTGAACCCGAAACCCTAAACCCTAAACCCTGAGGGCTTCAATCTACGAACCTTCCAGGCCGTTCTGCCCCCAACCGACCCTCCAAAGCCTTAACCCAACCAAATGGTTTTAAGGGTGTAGGGTTTAGGGTTTAGGGGGTTTAAGGTTGAGGGTTTAGTGTTTCGTGTTCAGGGCTTTGGGGTTTCAGGTTTACGAGTTAGGGTTTCGGAGACAGAGACATTTTTAGTTGCCATATGGGTTTACAGCAAATCATATGGTTTCCTCATAACTCAGGTTGCTGGAAGTAGAAACAAAGTCGGAGCTACAGGGCCGAAAGCCAAAACCCTAAAAACAGGGAGCCTAATTGAGATTTGCAGCTTTGAGCTACCTTGCCAAAGAGGCACCCTAAACCCTAAACTAAACCCTGAACCCTCAACCCTCAACCCTAAACCCTAAACCCTAAACCCTAAACCCTAAACCCTAAACCCTAAACCGCAGCGGCTGCGGCTCAAGATCCAGGAGCGAAGGGAGCGAAGCGACAGGCATCCGTCTTTGGCATGTTGCATGGGATTCAGGAGCATGCTCACACCCTAAACCCTAAACCCTAAAACCTACACCCTAAACCCTAAACCCTAAACCCTAAACCTGGATCCTTCAATCCTGAAGCCTGCAACTCGAAAACCTGAAGCTCCACCCTAAACCCCTAAACCCGGAAAAATCCCCTTAAACCTCAAGCTTGTCATCCGAAATCCGAAGGTTTAGGGTCATAGGGTTTAGGGTTTAGGGTTTAGGGTTTAGGGTTTAGGGTTTGGGGTTTAGGGTTTAGGGTTTAGGGTTAAGGGTATCGGGTTTCGGGTTTCGGGTTTCGGGTTTCGGGTTTCGGGTTTAGGGTTTAGGGTTTAGGGTTTAGGGTTTAGGGTTTAGGGTTTAGGGTTTAGGGTTTAGGGTTTAGGGTTTAGGGTTTAGGGTTTAGGGTTTAGGGTTCAGGGTTTAGGGTTTAGGGTTTAGGGTTTAGGGGCTAAGCCCTTGGTAAACAAACCCAAGGCTGCCAGGAGGCGTCACTGCACGCCCCGGCACCTGTGCTGATGCTGTCTTCTAGGGTTCCTCAAGGCTAAGGGAAGCTTCAGGTTTAGGGTTGAGGGTTGAGGGTTGAGGGTTTAGGGTTTAGGGCTAATTAGGGGTTTAGGGTTTGGGCTTTATTCTGTCATTGTGCTTCGCGCTGGACTTTCTAAGTGTTAAAGGCCGTTGTGGGTGCGTGCGAGCGTGCGAGCGTGCGAGCGTGCGAGCGTGCGAGCGTGCGAGCGTGCGAGCGTGCGAGCGTGCGAGCGTGCGAGCGTGCGAGCGTGCGAGCGTGCGAACACGCAAGTGTGCGAACGCGCAAGCGTGCGTGCGTGCGTCTTTGTTCTGATCTTATGGTTTAGGGTTTTAGGGTCTAAGGGTTAGGGTTCAGGGTTTCAGATTAGGGTTTACATTTAGAGGTGGTGGCCTTGCTTTCTTTAGGGGTCCAGGATCTAGGGCTTAGGGTGAGGCGTGGGCTGCTTTAGGATCTTAGGTTTAGGGTGTAGTGCTTCGGGGGTTGAGGGTTTCTTTTCTGGGGGTAGGGTTCAAGATTCGGGGTTTCGGGGTTCCGGGAAACCCTAAACCCTAAACCCTTAACCCTAAACCCTAAACCCTAAACCCTGGTGAGGGTTTTGGGTTCAGGGCTTGGGATTTAGGTTTGGGGATCAGGGCTGTGGAGTCAGCATAAAATCTCAGGGTTTAGGGCCGACTAGGGTTTAGGGTTTAGGGTCTAGGGTTTGGGGTTTGGGTTTGGGGTTTAGGGTTTAGGGTTTAGGGGTTTGGCCTTTCGGTTGGGCTACAATGATCCTGGTCCTATACCCCATCCCTAGATTCGAGTAACCTAGGAATAAAAGCGAACATATGAGATGTGTAAATTTTTTTGTCCATACGAAATCCCCAATACAAAACCTAGTTGAAAGAGGCGAAGCAACGTAAAGCAGGGGCAACCAAGACCCTAAACCCTAAACCCTAAACCCTAAACCCCAAACCCTAAACCCTAAGACAGAGAAGAGGGCAAAGGCAGAGGTTGCCGAAGCAGCAGCGTAGACGTCGGAGCGAACTCCAAGGAGCAAGTAGCAGGGAGGGCTTCAGAATCATCAATCTTAGGCGGCCTTTTCTACCGCTTGCAGTAAAGGGACTAAACAAGAGACCCCTGCACGGGAGTTAAGGGATAATGTAGGGGCTACGTAGGTACACAAGGACTAAATAAGGGATATGGTTCGGGGTTACATACATAAATGGGGGATAAGATTCTGGTTTCATTCTAGGAATGCCCCTCTTTCCCCTTACTTATATACCCCATACAACCCAAGGGCCCATACTTCAAAACACGTTCAAGAAGGTAAAGGACCAGAATAGGCTGCCCTTGCAACGACCTTTAGAAGCAAGGTTTTCGCAGAGGTCACCAGGGTTGGAACATCGTCTTCGCCAGGAGAAGCAGAGCGCATCGTGGCTGAGGGCTTTAGGGTTCAGGGCACTTCTGCTCCAAAAGCGACGCTCTCCCTAAAACCCCTACAACCAAAACTCTAAACCCTAACTACACCCAAAGCCCTCAGAACCTTAAAACGCTGAAAGCCCTAAACACCCTCTAAACTCCAACAAAAACCTGAAGCCTCCCCAAATACCCTTAAAACCCTCAAAACTCTACAGCCCCAAATATCCTTTACGCACCCACACTGGCCCAGCAATACCCTAACCAACCCTGAACGCCCTGAGACCCACCAACGTACACTAAATGCCCTACACTCTGAAAAGCCCTATGATGCCATGCAAGATAACTCCCCAAGCATCCGAAATAGTGTGAAAAACAAAAACCTGAAACCCCCTTAAACCCCAAAACGCCAAACCCTGAGCCCTAAACCCTAAACACCCAACCCCAAACCCCAAACCCCAAACCCTAAACCCTAAACCCTAAACTCCCAACCCCAAGCCCTAAACCCCAAACCCTAAACCCCAAACCTAAACCCCAAACCCTAAACCCCAAACCCTAAACCCCAAACCCCAAACCCTAAACCCGTTGCGCCGGGGAGCTCCGGCACGGCCCGTTCTGCCGATGCGGTGGATGTGGTCATCTGGGCCTTTAGCGGGTTTTAGGGTTTAGGGTTTAGGATTTAGGGTTGAGGGTTGAGGGTTGAGGGTTGAGGGTTGAGGATTGAGGGTTGAGGCTATACTCCGCTTAGAACCTTAAGAAGAATCACGTGTTTTCAGTACCCCCTCGGGCTTTTGTAAATACAAAACTAATTCCCAAGGGGCCACCCTAAACCCTAAACCCTAAACCCTAAACTTTAGAGTTTGGGGTTTTTGGGTTTAGGGGTCAAGGGCCTTGGGGGTTTTGGGCTCCCAGGTGTAGGGGTTTTTGAGGGTTTGGCTTTTGGGCCCTTAAACCCTAAACCCTAAACCCTGAAACCTAAACCCTAAACCCTAAACCCTAAACCCTGAAACCTAAATCCTGAACCCTAAGCCCTAAGCCCTAAGCCCAGAGCCCAAAGCCCTAAACCCTGAACCCTATATGGTTTAGGGTTTAGGGTTTAGGGTTTAGGGTTTAGGGTTTAGGGTTTAGGGTTTAGGGTTTAGGGTTTAGGGCTAAGGGCTTTCTTGGCAGGGGAAAAAATGAAAGTTTTGGGGTTCTGGGTATCCTAAACCCCAAACCCTAAACCCTGAAGGGGGTTTAGCGTCTGTTTCAGGGTTTCGGTGGTCTAGACCGAACTTCAGGGTTTAGGGTTTGGGGTTTGGGGTTTAGGTTTAGGGTTTAGGGTTTAGAGTTTAGGGTTTAGGGTCTAGGGTTTAGGGTTATTGTATACAAGGTTCCTTTTGAATATTGGTGAGTGTATATACTGGGTGTCCTTTTGGGGGTACAAGCAATATACACCCTACTTCATATGGGGGCCTTAAGAATTAAAATAGGACTTCGGGGGTCATTAAGGTATATTTGTATAGGGACCCGAAGCCTTCAGCCCTAAACCCTAAACCCTAGCCCTAAACCCTATACCCTATATTGGGGTTTTTAGGTGCGTGCTTTTGTTGGGCTCCGGGTTTTGGGGATGTGGGGGTGCAGAGTGGCTGTTATCGTCAGGGTTGCGGGTGTGAGGGCTCTAGGGCTTCGGGGTTTAGGACGGTTCAGGGTGTTAAGGTTGACAGAACCCTAAACCCTAAACCCTGAACCAGAAACCAAAAACCCTAAACCCTAAACCCTAAACCCTAAACCCTAAACCCTAAACCCTAAACCCTAGACCCTAGACCCTAGACCCTAGACCCTAAACCCAAACCCTGCGAAGTGCCAGGGAGATCCTTCTCGAGGCCCTGGCAACTTGCCACGTCGTAGTTCACAACCTCTGAGCATTGACTCACACTTTGGTGAAAAAAGGGTTTAGGGTTTAGGGTTTAGGGTTTAGGGTTTAGGGAATAGGGAATAGGGAATTTTAAGGGCTTAAAAGAGCTTTTGAGCTTAGAAATTTAGGGGCTGGAGGGACTCGGATGGCTTAGGGGTTTAGGGTGCATCCCACTGGTACGGGGCATCATATAGGCCTCGGCCCTGAAGAAGGAGGGCAGCTCTGAACCCTGAGCCGGTTTAGGGTTTAGGGTTTAGGGTTTAGGGTTTAGGGTTTAGGGTTTAGGGTTTAGGGTTTCGACTTTAGAACAAGACTGTGAGGCCTCCACCTCTGAAGCATTCAAGTTCTCTGTAGGCCCGGACAACGAGAAAGATACGTACGAGCCTTTGAGAACATCAGGTTTACGGGCTTTAAAGGGTCCTTAACTCCGGGGGGTTCAAGGGGGGAGTATGTAACCCAAGGTTCCCTAATAGTCCCCCACTACTCCCTATGGCTCCCAAGGCTTTCTAGGTACCTACTTTACATGAACGCTCCGCCCGTAAGAACCCTATGAGCTTTGTTTGCAACGATTGGAATACCAAAAGGACGTCCCCAAGACTTCTTGCTGCTGAAAACCCCAAAAAATGACAGATAATAATCCCTATATTTCCCTTACAAGGAAGAAAATGTCTAACGCTTTTGGGGGTTCTTAAGCGAATAGCAGAATATGAAAAGGATTACGCCCAAAATGTACAACACCACCACGTAGTACACCAACTACATCCTCTCCCCAATGGAAAACCCTAAACCCTAAACCTAAACCCAAAACTCTAAACCCTAAACCCTAAACTCTTAGGGCAGTTCCTGTCCCTGAATGTGGGCCCTTCAAAAAGGGACCCTTTGTACACCCCTTGCATACCCTATACAACCCAAGGGTCCATACTTCAGAACCCGGGACAATGATCCTTAGACACAACGAAGGTCTGAAACCCTTGCCCCCTGAACCTTCTCCCCTTTACCCTAAGCCTTAAACCCTAAACCCTAAACCCTCATTATGTTGCGAAATGTAAGCCTCAGAGCCTAAACCCTACACCCAAAGCCCATGAGGCCTGCGACCCGAAGTCCTTAAAGCCCTTTTGAACCCGAAACCCTAAACCCGAAACCCTGAGGACGGCGCGAGCTTAACGCCCTTGATGTCTAGCCCGCGTGCCTCGGCAGGCTCAACTAAACTGTTTGGGGCTTAGGGTTTAGGGTTTGACTAGGGTTGAGTTTTCTTGCATCATAACCTCAAATCCCCCAAGGGTTTCCCATGGATATAGGCCCTCAGTCCTAAATACTCTCAACCCGTAGACTTACTCAAGGGACTCTACAGTTTAGGGATTAGGGCTTAGGGCTTGGGGTTTGGGGTTTATGATTTTAAGGGCTTAGGGTTTATGGTTTAGGGCTTCGGGTTCAATGGTTTAGGGTTTAGGGTGCAGGGCTTTAGGATTTAAGGGTTGAAGGGTTGAAGGACTGAAGGGTGTAGGGTTTCTCGGTTTAGGGTTTAGGGTTTGGGTTTAGGGTTTAGGGTTTAGGGTTTAGGGTTTAGGGTTTTTAGGGCTTTTAGGGTTTTATTGTTTTTAGGGTTTTTAGGGCTTTTAGGGTTTTTGGGTTTTTTGGGGCTTTTGGTGTTTTTAGGGCTTTTAGGGTGTTTAGGGTTTTTAGGGTTTTTAGGGTTTAGGGTTTAGGGCTTAGGGTTTAGGGTTTACCTTGGACGCCTAAGGCAGTAAGTATCCTTGGGTTTGGGGACCCCTTTCGAAGATCCCAAGTTGGCATAAGGGCCATATGAGGAGTCCATTAAGCGAAACCTTTAGGGGTAGGGTTTAGGGTTTAGGGTTTAGGGTTTAGGGTTTAGGGTTTGGGGTTTGGGGTTTGGGGTTTGGGGTTTGGGGTTTGGGGTTTGGGGTTTGGTGTTTGGGGTTTGGGGTTTGGGTTTTGGGGTTTGGGGTTTGGGGTTTGGGGTTTGGGGTTTGGGGTTTGGGGTTTGGGGTTTGGGGTTTGGGGTTTGGGGTTTGGGGGTTTGGGGTTTGGGGTTTAGGGTTTAGGGTTTAGGGTTTAGGGTTTAGGGTTTAGGGTTTAGGGAGTCTTAATACTTTGATCTACCAGGCTTGGGGGTGAGGGTTCGGGAGAGCCTAAACCCCAAAACCTCAAAACCCTAAAACCCCCAAAGCCCTAAAAGCCCTAAAACCCGAAAACCCTAAAACCTTGACCCGTAAATCCTAAACCCCGAAACCCTAAACCCATACCCTAAAACCTCAAACCCTCAAACCCTAAAACCCAAAAACAACTAAAACCCTGAACCTGAAAAAACCAAATCCTAAACCCTAAACCCTAGACCCTAAGAGCTCAGGAATTTCCGGTGCCAAGCGCAGACACGGTGGCCGCCACATCTGTGGCCAGCATGATGGGGGAGCGGCCCGCCTTGAAGGCATGCAGCGCCTGCGGTTTAGGGTTTAGGGTTTAGGGTTTCGGGTTTAGGGTTTAGGGTTTAGGGTTTAGGGTTTAGGATTTAGGATTTAGGGTTTCGGGTTTAGGGTTTAGGGTATCGGGTTTAGGGTATCGGGTTTAGGGTTTAGGGTTTAGGGTTTCGGGTTTAGGGGATCGGGTTTCGGGTTTAGGGTTTCGGGTTTAGGGTTTAGGGTTTCGGGTTTAGGGTTTCGGGTTTAGGGTTTAGGGTTTAGGTTTTAGAGACGTAGCGCCTGCGGTTTCGGGTTTAGGGTTTAGGGTTTGGGGTTCAGGGTTTCAAGTTCAGGGTTTAGGGTTGAGGGTTTAGGGTTTAGGGTTTCGGGTTTCGGGTGTCGGGTTTCGGGTTCCGGGTTTAGGGTTTAGGGTTTCTTGCTGCTCTATTCCTGTAGAAAGCGGGCTCGGGGTGAGGGCTTAGGAAGTAGGATCTAGGACTCTAGGACTTGGGGCTTAGGGCGTTCATACCCTCAAAAGCACCCTAAACCCTAAACCCTAAACCCTAAACTCCAAAAAATGAAACGCTCACTGACACGCGGCAAGGCCTGATCTCGTTCCCGCTGTTCCTGGAGCGGGACGTGTGGACAAGTCATCATTCCGGGACTTGAGTTTGAAGGTTTAGGGTTTAGGGTTTAGGGTGGTTTAGGGTTTAGGGTTTAGGGTTTAGGGTTTAGGGTTTAGGGTTTAGGGTTTAGGGTTTAGGGTTTAGGGTTTAGGGTTTAGGGTTTAGGGTTTAGGGTTTAGGGTTTAGGGTTTAGGGTTTAGGGTTTAGGCCCTTTTACCTCAGCTCCAAACCCTAAGCTTTTGGCCGAAGGGGTTTGGGCCTATAGTTTTTTTGCCTTCAAAGAGGATCGCACAAGAAGCCTATGGCTGTTAAGTTTGGTGTTGAGGGTTGGTGTTTGTGGCTCTAGGCTTAGGGCTTCAGAAACCCAAGTTTTACCATAGCCCGTCTAGGCTTTAGGGATGAGGGTTACGGCTAAAAGGCTTGTTTAGCCCAGTAACTATGTTCAAAGCAAGAAGCCCTTATTGCTCTTTCTGGCAAAAGCACATCGAGGATAGCCCCAGTCACTTGGAAGCCCCTTTGGACTTAGTAAGTAGGGTTAGGAAGTTGGGTTCTGGGGGTTAGACCAGGGTGTCTAGGGGATACTAAGTAGACGGACGAAGTCATGAACCGCCCAAAACCATGTGGGGGTTGTTCTACAAGAAGGCTTTCTTTAGGCTCGGGGTGCGGGAACTCGCCCATTTGGGGAGCTTAACCCCGAAAGGGCCCCGAAACCCTAAACCCTAAACCCTAAACCCTAAGCCCTAAACCCCGCGGGGCCTTGTCGCCGTGGATGGTGACGACATGGAAGTGTCGGCTGCGGTACAAATCTGATGCCAAGGACTCACAGAGCCTGGCATGGATCGTTTAGGGTTTAGGGTTTAGGGTTTAGGGTTTAGGGTTTAGGGTTTAGGGTTTAGGGTTCAGGGTTTAGGGCTTAGGGCTTAGGGTTTACAGTTTAGGGCTATCTTTCATTCGTTGGGGGTTCTTAAACAAATGGGAGTTTACGAAAATAAGGGACCCCAAAAAAATATGGACCCCCAAATGGTAGGATTCCCGAACAAGGCCCCAATCAGGTACCGCTAATATCGTAAAACCCCCAAACGGAGGATAAGTTGGGGCGTTCCCACTTAGACTGACAGTCCCTAATTGGGATTACAGTACCCCGACTCTATATCCTAAACCCCAAACCCCAAACCCCAAACCCCAAACCCTAAAAACCCTAAACCCTAAACCCTAAACCCACCTCCCAAAACCCCTAAGGGACTGTCCTTATGAGAGGAACATCCCGCAGGACAAAGGTTGGTGTGGGCTTCGTTTGCCGGGCCTAGAACTGCACACTGGGTTTAGGGTTTAGGGTTTGGGGTTTAGGGTTTGGGGTTTGGGGTTTGGGGTTTGGGGTTTGGGGTTTGGGGGGGGTTTGGGGTTTGGGGTTTGGGGTTTGGGGTTTGGGGTTTGGGGTTTGGGGTTTGGGGTTTGGGGTTTGGGGTTTGGGGTTTAGCGTTCAACCTGTTCCCCCTTATACTTATACTAACAGTCCTTAAGAGCGATTATTGTAGGGGGTACTATAATCTCTATTTCGGACTGTTCGTATAAGGGGGACCTTAATCCCTAGAAATGCTGAACCCTGGATCCCCCACAGAGCTTAAGCCCTAGGCAAAAAGCCCTTCGAACCTGCTAAACTTAAACCCTAAACCCTAAACCCTAAACCCTAAACCCTAAACCCTAAACCCTAAACCCTAAACCCTAAACCCTAAACCCTAAACCCTAAACCCTAAACCCTAAACCCTAAACCCTAAACCCTAAACCCTAAACCCTAAACCCTAAACCCTAAACCCTAAACCCTAAACCCTAAACCCTAACCCTAAACCCTGAACCCTGATTCCTGAACCCCAAACCCCTCTAAGCCCAGCAATGCAGCGCGGGAGGACTTCTTGGTGTTTGTGAAGACGATGACGCGCTCCTTGGATTCAGGGTTTAGGGTTTAGGGTTTAGGGTTTAGGGTTTACGGTTTAGGGTTTAAGGTTTAGGGTTTAGGGTTTAGGGTGTAGGGCTTAGGGTTTGGTTTTAGGGTGTAGGGTGTAGGGTGTAGGGCGTAGGGTGTAGGGTGTAGGGTGTGGGGTGTGGGGTGTAGGGTGTAGGGTGTAGGGGGTGGGGTGTAGGGTGTGGGTGTAGGGTGTAGGGTGTAGGGTGTAGAGTGTAGGGTGTAGGGTGTAGGGTGTAGGGTGTAGGGTGTAGGGTGTAGGGTGTAGGGTGTAGGGTGTGGGGTGTGGGGTGTGGGGTGTGGGGTGTGGGGTGTGGGGTGTGGGGTGTGGGGTGTGGGGTGTGGGGTGTGGGGTGTAGGCTGTAGGGTTTAGGGTTAGGGTTTAGGGTTTAGGGTTTGGGGTGTAGGGTTTAGGGTTTGGGGTTTGGGGGTGTAGGGTTTAGGGTTTAGGGTTTAGGGTCTAAGGTTTAGCTGAACCTCTAAACCCCAAACCCAAATCTCTTGGGCCAAGGGGCCTGTCGATCCACGCTCGTCAAGATCTCCTCAGTGCATGCAGGTAACGGCTTTGGGGGCTGAGTGTTTGGGGCTTCGGGTTTAGGGTTCAGGGTTTAGAGTTTAGGATTTAGGGTTTAGGGGGTTAGGGGTTTAGGGTTTAGGGTTTAGGGTTGCAACAGTTAAAGTTTTCGGGTTTGGGGTTCTGGGTCACAGGGTCAGAGGGTCATAGGGTCGTCTCGGGCTTGGAGACGTCAACGGGCTTGGATGGGTTTTGGGGGTTAGGGTTTAGGGTTTAGGGTTTAGGGTTTGGGGTTTAGGGTTTAGGGTTTAGGGTTTAGGGTTTAGGATTTAGGGTTTAGGGTTTAGGGTTTAGGGTTTAGGGTTTAGGGTTTAGGGTTTAGGGTTTAGGGTTTAGGGTTTAGGGTTTAGGGTTTAGGGTTTAGGGTTTAGGGTTTAGGGTTTAGGGTTTAGGGTTTAGGGTTTAGGTGTTAGGGTTTAGGGTTTAGGGTTTAGGGTTTAGGGTTTAGGGTTTAGGGTTTAGGGTTTAGGGCTTCAAGCTGTCCGAGGAGTTCGAGAGATGTCGAGGTGGGAAGTTGCCCGGCGGGTATCCTGACAGAGGGGCTTACACGAAAAGGAACACAACAGAGAACCTCTTTGTTCATGGGGTCCTGAAGGAGCAAGGGGGGTTTTAGGGTTTAGGGTATGGGGTTGGGAGTTTAGGGTTTAGGGTTCAGGGTTTAGGGTTTAGGGTTTAGGGCACACCCTTCGACAGTCCCACAGCAGAACTCAATGCCAAGTGGCAACGAGGTTCTCTGTCTTGTCCTTGCTTCTCCAGCAAAACTACTATTTGCTTAAGAACCCCCACCCAAAAAAAACAATGATTCCTACATGCCCCCTAAACCCTAAACCCTAAACCCTAAACCCTAACCCTAAACCCTAAACCCTAATAAGGAAGTTTTTCTTGAGGTTCTTAAGCAAGTGGTAGAAAAAGGTTTAGGGTTCAAAGGGTTTTGGCGTCTTACCCTAAGGCCCCAGACCCCTTCTAACCCTAAACCCTAAACCCCAAACCCTAAACCCTAAACCCCAAACCCCCCGAACCCCCTTTTGCCTTGAAGCCTAACCCATGGGGCGAAGGCAGGGTCCTTCTGGCCGTTGCAGATGACGACCTCTTGCCTCGGTTCCGCTGTCGAAGTCGCAACACCGCCCCTGACACCCTAAACCCTAAACCGAATCAGACCCTGAACCCGAAACCCTTAATTACAAGCAAAAGAACCCTGAACGCGTCCCCAAAAACACCCTTCAAATAATCTGCATACTCTGAACCCTGAAAAACCCAGACACCAAAGCCCAAAAACCCGAGAACATCCTTAAAGCAAAAAAAGTCTTGAAACCATGGGTAGAGAAAGGTTTATGGTTTTAGGGCTTAAGGGTGTAGGTGTATGGTTCTTACTGCTAGTATTCCCAGAGGGACACCCAACATAATTATCCGAGCCATGCATACACTCCCCAGCTGCGGCAATATAAGCCCAACCCCCCAAACCCCAAACCCCAAACCCCAAACCCCAAACCCTAATCCCTAAACCCTAAACCCCAAACCCTAAACCCTAAACCCTAAACCCTAAACCCTTGATTCAGAACCGCACCCCCATTCAGGGCATCTTGTGGCGTACTTGGGCGGATCAGCAGGGCGCAGCCCCTAAATTTAGGGTTTCGGGTTTTGGGTTTAGGCTTTAGAGTTTAAAGTTTACGGTTCAGGGTACCCTAAACCCTAAACCCACTCTACACACTGAACCCTAGGTTGGGCGCCGGACCCTACACCCTAAACCCTAAGCCCTCAGCCCTAAGCCCTAAGCCCTAAACCCTAAACCCTAAACCCTATACAAAATGCCTCAGTATCTGGATGTCACCGACGCCCTGAACTCGGACGGGCTCGGGGGGCCACAGTGCTTTAGAAGCTCAGGGCTTTGCCTCAGCCAGTTGCTTTTCGTCTTCCTCCACGCCCCTCTGCCCCATTCTGGCTGTGCGGCAGTGAACGTGCCTTTCTAATCTGGACTCACGCTCCTCCTGTGTGAGGTGCTGGCCTCTCCGGCCCATGGCGCAGACGCGCGTGGAAACTCCCAGGCCTCAAGCGTTGCACGTAAATTCCAAACAGCAAACGTCGTCCAATTGCAAGCGGCAAAGGTCGCCCCACGTCCAGACGCTGTAAAGCTGGTAGCCAGATGAAGTAGGGTTTAGGGTTTAGGATTTAGAGTTTAGGGTTTAGGGTTTAGGGTTTCCTAAACCCCTAAACTCCTAACCCGAAGGCAAAAGCTGTAGCCAGATCAGAATAAGGCCAGGTCGAGATAAGATCACTCGAAAAAATTCACACGAGCCGGCCCATAGGGAAACTCTTCAGCTCTAAACCCCCTAAACTGGAAATCTCTCCCCCCAATCTTTATGGGGTGTACACCAAGCTGGGGTGGATCTCGGCCGAAACCCTAAACCTGAAGCCCTAAACCGTAAACCCTAAACCTTAAACCCTAAACCCTAAACCTTAAACCCTAAACCCTAAACCCTGCAACTATGGACCGCAGATAATCCGGGCCAAACAGCTTGATGTCCTTGTTCGCTGTGGCCTGCAAACTCGAGCTGACGGTACATAGGTACTTAACTCAAGGGGAAAAAGGAGGGATTTCTTGAAGGGACCCTTAATCTTATTCCCCCCAAAAACCCGGCACATATATATATATATATATATACCTTTTATAGTCCCGAGATACCCATGTAGATATAGTCCCGACATGCCGAACTAGCCCCCAAATAACCCCCAAATGACCCCTGAGGTCCCTTAGAAGGGTCCCTCCTTTAGCCTCTTGATTATCAAGAGCGTAACCTTCATGAAGGTATCAAGAGTTCAAAGTTTAGGTTTAGGGTTTAGGGTTTAGGGTTGAGGGTTGAGGGTTGAGGGTTTAGGGTTTAGGGTTTAGGGTTTAGTGTTTAGTGTTTAGGGTCTAGGGTCTAGGGTCACCTTCCATGCAACAGCTTCAACAACCATAGTTTAGGGTTTAGGGTTTAGGGTTTAGGGTTTAGGGTTTAGGGTTTAGGGTTTAGGGTTTAGGGTTTAGGGTTTAGGGTTTAGGGTCCGCCGACCCTGGCGGTGTGTTGGATGGGAAAAGGAGGTGAAAACCTTTTTGTTTCCCTCCTTACCCCCCCCAAAACGCGGGGGGGTGGGGGGGGTCGGTGTGCCCCCGCCCTGACCCCCCCCTACCCCCCCCCCTACCCCACCCCCCCCCCCCTATAACCCCCGCCCCCCTGCCCCCCCCCCCCCCCCACTGCCCCCCCCCCACTGCCCCCCCCCCCTGCCCCCCCCCCCCCCCCCCCCCCCCCCCCTTCCCCCCCCCCCACGTCTTTTCTTTCCTGCCTTCTGGGCCGGGTCCTGGTGCCACCCCCCCCCCCCAACGTTTCACAGAACTCTGCCCGAGCAGCGGGCTGACCTTTCAACTATGCTCCAGCGGGGTCGGCGGCTTGAGCCGGAGGCTCTTAAATTTAGGGTTTAGGGTTTAGGGTTTAGGGTTTAGGGTTTAGGGTTTAGGGTTTAGGGTTTAGGGGTTTAGGGTTTAGGGTTTAGGGTTTAGGGTTTAGGGTTTAGGGTTTAGGGTTTAGGGTTTAGGGTTTAGGGTTTAGGGTTTAGGGTTTAGGGTTTAGGGTTTAGGGTTTAGGGTTTAGGGCCAAGGGTTACGGGTTCGAGGGGCTTTCGGGGGACCTTTCGGGGGTTTAAAGGACTTTCTGGTGGGGCTTAGGGTTTCAAGGGCATCTTCGAAACTAGAGCACCGGTCCTAAACCTTCTTCAAGATTGAAGTTAGGGTTTAAGGTTTAGGGTGTAGGGTTAAGGTTTGGGGTTGGATTTCGGGTTTAGGGTTTAGGGTTTTCGAGTTTAGGGTTTAGGGCCAGGGTAGGGAGTAGGGGTTAGGGTTTCGGGTTCAAGGGTTAGGGTTTGGGAAATACTCCAAAGACTAAGTCGAGAACGGCGACGCTCCGTTCTTTTTGCCGAGGCTTAACCCCACAAAGCAAGCTCAATAAACCTGAGAGGCCAGATGCTCGGTTTAGGGTTTAGGGTTTAGGGTTTCGGGTTTCGGGTTGCGGGTTTCGGGTTCAGGGTTTAGGGGTTAGTGACCCCAGATTGGGGCATTTTCCCCAAATAGGGGTCTGCCCATATACCCCAAACTAGAAAGGATGAACTCTAAGAACCACCCAAAAATGGTACCACTGTCTTCGGAAATCCTCCAATAACTACTACTTTTGCTCACAAGGCCCCCCCCGAAATAGAAGATAAAGAACATTTATCAATTTGGGGGGGGGGGGTTCTTACACAAAGAGTAAAATAAGGGTTTAGGGTTTAGGGTTTAGGGTTTAGGGTTTAGGGTTTAGGGTTTAGGGTTTAGGGTTTAGGGTTTAGGGTTTAGGGTTTAGGGTTTAGGGTTTAGGGTTTAGGGTTTAGGGTTTAGGGTTTAGGGTTTAGACACCCTAACCCTGTGTTTGGGGGGGACGATGCGTTCGCGGCAGGGCCAACAGTTAGGCTGTCGATATTTGGGGCCCGGGGCCGGGGTAAACCCTGCTACCCTGAAACCGATATGGCATAGCTAGGCTTCGGGTTTTGGGTTTAGAGTTCAGAGTTCAGTTCTTAGGGCTTAGGGCTTAGGGTTTAGAAAATGTAGAGTTTAGGGTACTAACCTTGCCAGCCCCACCGTGCCTCGTGAGACCCTATCTGGATGTAGACCTGATGCAATGAAAGCCCAACAACCCACAAGCAGACTAAGTGTGGGCCTGCACCCTAGAGCCTAACGCCTAACCCAACCCTGCCTGGGACCCTATGTACCTACAGTTTTGTGATTAGTGGTCTGTACCCCCCCCTTTTAGATTTAGATGCTTGGACAGCTGGTTCAGCGGAGTTCGGATTTGATCAAAGGTTGATCCTTCAACCAAAGCCCAAAATCCTGAGCCCCTAAACCCTAAAACCCGAAACCCTAAGCCCGAAACCGCAAGCCCAAAACCCTGAGCGCCCATAGAGCAAACCCTTAACTCCGGGGTTTGGGGTTGGGGGAAGGGTTTTCAGGAACATGCGACTACGGGGCTTCAGGCTTTCAGGAATTCAGGGTTTAGGGCTGAGGGTTTAGGGCTTAGGGTTTAGGGTTTACGGTTTAGGGTTTACGGTTTAGGGTTTAGGGTTGTGGGTTGTGGGGCTCGATAGATTCCTGACAACTCATCCTGGCTCCTTTTGGCGGAAGCCCAAATCGACCCTGAACCCTAAGTGCTACACTCCACTCTCTGCACTCCGCCCCTGCGCGATACGCGCACGAAAGCCGTAGACCAGCCCTTCAACCTCCCTGCTTTTCGGGCTAAACCGCCCTACCTAAACCCTAAACTAACCCTAAACCCTAAACCCTAAACCAAGTTTAGTCTGGGTATGATTTGAAGCCATCCCGACCCTTGTACCTACTGCCGGATTCTATGCATGAGTCATCCCATCCCCCGAAGATTAAACGGGTGGCCCCCCCCCCCCCAAGAGAAACTCGAAATGTGTTGTTACTATTTGGGGAATGTTTTACCCAAATGTCATGTTTTGGGTCCATAGGGTTTAGGGTCTACATCTGTCAAACTGTGATCTTCAATGCGGTCTCCGGTGATACCAAGGTGAATCACAGTGAGAGTCCATTCAAAGGTTCCTGTAGCCCAGGACACGATGTCACGGGCAAAGGAGTACACGTCCTTGATGTCTGCCTTCAAGTGACTGGGCCAATCCTTGTGCTCCTTTGAGGCAATCTTCTGGCTGCGAATGACGTAAGGCGTGCCGTCCTGCTCGACCTCAAATTCTTGCCAGATAAGGGAGGCTTTGCCCGCTCCTCCGAAGTCAATGAAAAGGATCTGCATGGTATAGACGTATACGCACAAGGAGGACTGACGGCTACTGAGAGCCAGATTGCTGCTGGCCATGAGCTGCAATTCAGTACGCAACAACAACGAGTAGAAATTGATGGTGAATTTCAGGCCAAGCCCTGTCCTCGTTAAAGCTTGCCATATACAAATGAGAGTTTCTTAAAAAGGGTTCCAAAGAAGATCCGCAAGAAAAGACACAGAGAGAGAGAGAGAGAGAGCTGCGCTCCACTCACGCAGCACCGGGAGGAAAGGGAGGGTCTCTCAGGGAAGGGGCGGGAAAGGAGCTTCAGGATGTTGGTTGGTTTGAGGCTCTTGGGAGCCCTCAACCCAGTCCCCTAATTCGGAATAGGGTTGAAAAGGCGGGGTCGGTTTCGGCAGGATTTTCCGGAAAGTGTTTTTTTAAATAACTAGGGGTACGTTTAATCCAAGCGGGGGTGGGATTACGCGACAGGGAACATCACCAATCTCCGATTTGGTACCTATGGCCTCGTTTTGAAAAACAGGGTTCAGTTGTAGGGTTTAGGGTTTAGGGTTTAGGGTTTAGGGTTTAGGGTTTAGGGTTTAGGGTTTAGGGTTTAGGGTTTAGGGTTTAGGGTTTAGGGTTTAGGGTTTAGGGTTTAGGGTTTAGGGTTTAGGGTTTAGGGTTGTATGGTTTAGGCATTTGTCATCCAGGCGGCCGGTCGATGGAGGTAGTCCTGCAAGGAAGATCTCGATGGCCCTAAACCCCGAAACCAGCTAAACCCCCATAAGCACAGTAAACCCCCTAAACCCCCTGAATCCCCTAAACCCTAAACCCCTAAACCCTAAGCCTAAACCCTAAACCCTAAACCCTAAACCCTAAACCCTAAATCCTAAACCCTAAACCCTAAACCCTAAACCCCTAAACCCTAAACCCTAAACCTAAAGCCTGAACTGAATCCGGCGACGGGCCCTGAGTCCGAGGGTTTAGGGCTTAGGTTTAGGGCAGATGCTGCCATACCACACTGTCCACGCCACCGGACTCCCGGGGCTCACTCTAAAGTAGGCGCTGTAAAGGAGGGTTGAGGGTTTAGGGTTTAGGGTTTAGGGTTTAGGGTTTAGGGTTTAGGGTTTAGGGTTTAGGGTTTAGGGTTTAAGTTTTAGGGTTTAGGGTTTAGGGTTTAGGGTTTAGGGCTTAAAGCTTAGGGATTAGAGTTAGGATTATGCAAAGGATTTATTGTTCTGCAGAGTTCCCTGGCCGTGAAATGTCAGGACCCCGCGGAGGTAAGAAGTTCGAAGACGCGGTGAGAACACCCTACTTACATAGATACATATGGTAGGCAAGCTTTTTTAACTTACGAACACACAACGACTGTACAACAAACAAAGACTGCTGGGGACTAAGCCCAGCTGAAAACCCGCATTCCCCTAGAGCCCGAAAAGCTCAACCCTCAACTCTAAAAACCTAAACCCTAAACCCTAAACCCAAAACCCTAAACCCCAAGCCCTAAACCCCTGAACCCTAAACCCTAAAACCCTAAAACCCAAAAACCCTAAAACCTCAACCCTCAGCTCAAAAAAAATCCTAAACCCTAAACCCTAAATCCTAAACCCTAAACCCTAAACCCTAAGCCTAAACCCTAAACCCTAAGCCCGCCCTCAGCTTGCAGCGTAAAGTGTCCTGTGCCAGGTTCCGCACCTCCCTTGGCCAGGTCGCACCTTGCAACACAAGCTGCTCTTGGCGGCTCTAAGTGTTTAGGGTTTAGGGTTTAGGGTTTAGGGTTTAGGGTTTAGGGTTTAGGGTTTAGGGTTTAGGGTTTAGGGGTTAGGGGTTTAGGGCTTAGGGTATAGGGCTTACACCCTGAAAATTGCCTTGGACCCTGGAGGTTGTACCCTTGGGTTTTGGGGACCCTGTTTAAACATCCTTAAGCTTAAGACATGGGTCTTAATCCCCTGAAAGCAGCTCTCGACGGTTCTACGCGCCATGTCGGGCTGTCAAGAAGTAGAATTCAGGGTTTAGAAGGGTTTTTTAGCAAGGGCCTGTGGATTCGTAGACGACATGTACCATCTTGTGCATGTTTCTATGGAGGTTTCCCAAGAATGTAGGATCCCCCTCGAAGCCCTGAAGCCTAAGACGAAGCCCTTTAAGGCTTCAGAGTTCGGACCTAGCCGAGTAGCCCTACAACACTACACCCTGTACCCTGACCGGCAAACTAGAACCTGGAAGGGTTTGTGGTTTAGGGCTTGGGGGTTTTAGGGTTTCGGGTTTAGGGCTTAAGGTTTAGGGTTCCCTAAACCCTCAACCCGAACACCCTCAACCATGAACACCGCCCAGACTTAAGCCCTAAGCCCAAACCGAAGAACCCTGGACCGTAAAACCTAAACCCTAAATCCTTTCTCAAGCCCTTAACCCTAAGCCCTAAGCCCTAAGCCTTAAACCCCAAACCCTCAACCCAAAAATCGCCAAACCCTAAAATCCCCCCTGAGCCCCAAACCCTAAACCCTATACCCTAAACCCTAAACCCTAAACCCTGAACCCTACAATCCCAAACGGAGGCGCTAAACATCATCGTCTGCCGGTCCCGCGGGATCGCCTTGATGAGGGTTCGAATCCTGGGCAGGGGTCTAGAGGTTTGAGGTTACCCTAAACCCTAAACCCTAACCCTAAACCCTAAACCCTAAACCCTGAACCCTGAACCCTGAACCCACCAAACAAATGTACGTGAGTAGTTCTCGTTCCCCTGTTGAGTCCCCTACGCAGTACGGCACGAATTATAATCGGGAACGGGTGGGGGGGGCAGGGTCGGGGAGCTCCCAAACTCAGGACTTTGGACTTTGGGGTTTAGGGTTTAGGTTTAGGCTTCAAGAAATTAGGGATGGGAAGATCTGCCATACAGTTTTTGGGGGGCCGGGGGGCCGAGGGGGGTTCGGGTTACCTTATGGGTGGGTCCTTACTATAAGCGAATCCTACTCTTTGGGGAACTGTATTCGGCGTGCCGGAT